CCAACACACATGAATGTTGTAACATGGGGTGCATCGACCCCTCTTTCTTAACCTAGTATGGATTTTAATTCTACACTTTTTTGCAGTTTTTTTAATTAACTTGTTAAAAATCTGTAGTGTGTAAAATTGAACAGCTCGAACATCTCACTTTACAAAGGTACCATTCTTGTGATATCTAAATGTGCGATTTCAGTATATTAAAAAAAAAAAAAAAGGTATTTTGTTGGCTGACTTCATGTGGAAAAGCTGGTATTAATAGCATGCTTACTCCGATATGACAGGGAGGTGTCTTGACTGCTGTTAGGTACTCAAAGTGGGGTAAGGGAGGTGTTACTGGAGAGAGGATTGATAAATTCAGAGACTTCAGAGGTTAGAATATATATGCCATCTTCCAACCTTTTACATTAGCACCGCTATTGTGACTGTATAATAATGTTCAGTATCATTCAGCTGCAAAATAAAATAAGCACATTGCTTTGTGCACATTATTCTGTGCAGGAACCGTGCTTAATTTACTTTAGCTTGCCTTTGAACATTGCACATATCTGTTGTAAAAGCTGGCCACTTACCTTTTTTAAACTCAGTTTGTTACAGAATTATGCAAACAAACCAGGAAGTGAGCCGGGGAAAAATAGTACAGGTGACATGTTTAAATGCATTTCACACTTTCTATTTTGGGCTCACTTTAATTTCATAAATCAGATGGTTTTCAGAGTATGTCGATTCTTGCTAATATTTGTATATTTGCAAAAATAAACATAGCAGTTACTCTGTTTTTGTGAGCTAATTGATATTTCATTGTCTGTTTTTTCCGGGAGCTTTTATGATGCAAGTCCCAGTTCATCAAACCTAAATCTGTTCTCCAAATTATAGTTGCTCATCTCCCCATCATGCTGAAACAGGCAAAATTTCACGTTGTGCTTCTATCTTCTTGCCCATTTCAGAATCAAGGACAAAGCCTTCCCTCATCATCTTCACAATATTTGTTTCTGTGGATTTGGTTGGGCCCCTCTTTGGCTCTGTTGCATCTCATTCTATATTTGTTCTTTCTGCCTCTGAGTCTTTCAAATATCGGACTCCTCTCTTGGTTCATCCATGTTTTGCCACACGGGTGGTGTATGCTCTCCCATGCTGTCTCCACCATCTAGAGCAGCTTCATTTTGGCTTCTTACCTAGTTTCCAATTTTATCCTTCCTGGCCCATGACTCCTAACCCTCTTTCTGATTTAAAAAAAACAATCAAATCCTTTTTCTTAGAGCCTTCTATTTTCTCCATGCTTAATTCTGACATCTGGCTCTTGCATGCCACCGCTCTCCTGCCGTATCCTCAGAAGCCACATGTATATGTAATTGAATTGTCTGATGATTAAGTCCATACAATGGACTCAGGTGTGATGCATTTGTATGAATGACATAAACTAAATATTTTAACTCATATTTCAAGCTTGTGATATAATATAAGACACCTTTTTATACATTTCCTATTTGCATATCCAGACAGTGGAATAATTTTGAAAATAAACTTGAGATTAAAAAAGTAAATTAGTTTGGTTGAATTTGCATTTTATGACTGACACATTTTGAAAATAATGCTGTCTGCCCTCATGATGCAAGTTATTAATGAATTTGGACACTTGGGAGGCTTATCTGCACAAGCTGGGGACATTGCATGAAGTAATTTTCCAGGGAATAATGCTAAAAAGTAATAATAAAGCGATCTCCCTGGCTGGTACAGACAGTGTGTACATGTGCTAGGCTATACATCAATACTGAAGTATTCCTTTAGACTAATCTAAACACTAACCTATTGGATTGTAAAGCCCCTATCTAGTCTGTACTACCGTTTTGTAAACTATAGCACAGTTAGGCTTTGTCTACCAGCGGCCTACTGATCAGGGAAACTGTGTTAGCGCCTTAAGCAAGAATAATAATAATAATATTATTAAAAGCAAGAATAATAATGAAACGCTGTTTCCCTAGGGGTATGTCTGAATGGGCATAAAAGGTGTTGACGCAATCCAAAAAAACCCATTATGATTCAGGATGACTTATTTGAAGTGGTTTTAACTGGCAGTGTTGTAACCTACCCTAGAGCAATGGTTCAGATATGTTAGCTTGCACTTTAACAGAGCTTTTCAATCTTATTGAGCTAACACAATTGAAAAACGCTTTTTGCCTGACAAGACAGGCCTAGAATAACATTGGTCCCTCAGCTACTGTAAAGAGGGTCTTAGAGTAACTATGATCAAAAATTGGTGGATTAGTTAATCAAATAATGTGTATCAGATGTGGTAGTAATGTCTTTAGCTACCGCAGTTCTCAAATGCTTTTGTGGATCAAAACATGAGGTTTTGCTTAGTTTCTCAGCACCAGTTGACACTTGTTTTAAAATTAGACTATGGGTTTGTTTCAGGGCGACTGAACTGCAAACTGCAGTATTTTTTTTCTTGCTAATTCTTATGGGTATTTGCATTTTTTTTTAAATGGTTAAGGAAACTCTTAATTAATTACAGTAGGACCTTTGTAATCCCACGTGAGAGGACATGATAAACTCCAGCCATCGACTAGCATGGCGGTTGCGCATTGTGCATCATGAAAGACTATTTGGCTTTACACTGTACCAGACGACTGCATGCCACTACACTAGGTGAACGCTTACATGAGAGCGAAGAGGAAGTAACTGATGTGATGTGCGTTAAAATGAAGTGTGTTCTTTGTCAAATGCAAATGACCTTTTAAAAGCACATCCATGTTTGGGACAGTGTGACCCCGGGGACTGGAAGTCTAGGAGACTTGCATCTGATTTTCAGATTTATCATGGCTTGTTCTATGACTTTGGGGAGGTCACTTCATTCTGTGCCTGAGCTTTCCTCTCCATCACATACAGAAGATTCTTCTTCACCTTTTTGAAGTGCTTTAAGAGCTATAAATGAAAAGCTCTATAGGAATGCTAAATATTAATTATTAGTGTAAGTAACTGAGTTCCCTGGTCATCCACCCCTTCCACCTCCTGCTTTCTTTGTCTTCTCTTTTAGGGTGTACTGTACTCCTTTTATTACTCATTCCATTGAAAAGACTTATAAAGGATGTTGTATTTAGAGCAAACTGCTAATGCTAATATATCTTACTTTTATAGAACAAATGCAAAGCAGCTCATTCAGAATGTAATTAAGAATCACTGCAATTCTGAACATCAGTGTAAAAATAGGTACTTAAAATATAATTTACGTTATGAGGTTTTTTATTGTTACCCTTACAATTTCTTGTCCTTTATTTAATCTGCCCTTGTGTTGAATTGCTTGCTTTACCAATAGAGTAAACTGCAGTAATGGCAGTTTTCATAACTATTGCTTTACTGCTGCCTTAATGCATTATTTAGTTGGCTTTCAAAGTGTTACTTGAAAAAATGAATACTAACTGGATTGGATACCATAGGACCATTTGACCTTCACACTGAATACCTGTTAAAAGAGCATAAAGAAAGGTTAATGTATCAAATTGGGGGAATGTGTCCACTAGGGCAGTGCTATTCAAAGTGGTGGTCCACGGACCGGTGCCGGTCCGTGAGCCATCGGCTGCCTGTCTGCGCGCACATTGGAAAAAAATTGCCGGTCCCCCACATCAGATAGTTGAGAAGCACTGCTCTAGGGTACCAAAGGAGCTTGTCTTAGTGTTGTCGTCATTAATTGTATAGAAGGGGGAATAAACAGCCCATTAGTGAAATTAAAAACATGGACAGAAAATAACATAAGGCGATTGAGCTTCAAAACATACAACTCATAAGCGTACAGGAAAGTAATTGAAAACGTACTCGATGGCAGGGACGTTTCTGGGAAACGGAAATGCTGAGTGAAACCTGTTGGTGATAGTGGAGAGCAAATTAAACATGAGACTGCAAGACCTTATTGTAGCAAAAATGTGAATGCAATTTTGGGCGGCATCTATTGCGGCATCCCAGAGCCAGAGGTAATAGTTAGTCTTCATACGTCTCTCTCTCTCTGGCTTTGATGTAACTAAATCTGTAACAATGTGTTTGGTTTGGGGTATCTCATTACTAACAAGATATTGACAAGTTAGAGGGAGCTCAGATAAGAATACTAGTAATTTAGGGGTTTGGTTGGGATTTGAGGAAAGGTGAAAAGAGCTACATTTTTACTTAGCTAAGGCCTCGATCCAGCAAAGCATTTAAGAATGTATGTAGTCCCATTGACGTTGGGGCTACTCGTGTGCTTGAAATTTTATGTACTTGCTTAAGTGTTTTGCTGAATGAGGGCTTTCGCGATCGCAAATGGAGATATAAATCTACAACGGTTTGAAGGGTGGAAATGCCACCAATGGACAAAAATCAGGGTGGATGGTTATGGCTAGAACCTACAAGTGATGGCCTAAAATGAGGAAGGAACTCTTTTGGCTTCACATCATCTGAGTGAGATATAGTAAATTGTGGAAAAATCTCCAAAAGTGGGGTGGTGGAAACCCTATCTCATAGGGCACTTAAATCTAGAGTGGGGAAGAATGCTAGAAAACATGCTGTGAAGTCATCTACCTGCCAATGCAGGATTGTTCCTTAATAGACATCTCTAACGCCAATAAATGTGTATAAAAGTGTTGCTTTCGAAAATAGATTTGAAGTCATCCACACATTGTTCAAGGAAAGAGATTTGAAAATGGTTTTACATTTATTTTCACCAAAGTGATTGTGCATGTTTAATCTTGAGCATCCTGGTTTACCATCTGAGAACATGGATGTGTACATGTGACTGTGGTGTCACGTGTGCATGCCACTAAGTTAGTGGTTTACTTAAATGTTTTTCTTCACAGCGAGGTATCTTCTTGTTAATGTCACTAATGGAATTGGTAATTCTTGACATCTTAAACCAAGGGAAATTTTTTAAATTCAGATACCCAAAACACCAATTAAATATTTACCGAACCACTTTTAATTTTATTAATCATCAGCACTTGTTTCTGTATAATTAATTTTGCATTAACCTCTTTCAGCTGGATATGCCTAATGAGCAGATAGTTGCCAATCTGGATGCAATTATTAAGGATGTCTGTACATACAAGCCATTGAGCTATGGTAAGTAGTTTTTCCTTTAGGCTCTTAATTGAAGTTAAAGCAAATTACATAAATTAAGTAATAAGGAAGCGCTCTTCATCACTAACTATTGCCAAACACCCTACAAACACACATCACTTCATCTGCCTTTAGGATGGAGGCAGCTTTTCAGCCCTGATCCACCATGTTACTTAAACTTTACGTCTAGCTTTAAGCATATGAGTGGTCCCCTTGAGCACAGAAGCACTATTAATGTGTGCCTTGCTAAATCAGGAGTTTAGCATTGCTATGCACTAAAGGACAGCATAGGTCAGAAAATAAGCAACATTACCATACCCAACTGAGCTTGCAGGGAAGACTGTTACATAGGACTTAGTGGAATTTGGTCAGGACGAGGGGGTTGCCAAGCTAGAAGTTTAGGAAAGAATAAGCAAGCAGAAAATTCTTCCAGGCCTCTGCATCAATTCTACACCACTGATGGATGCCTCTTGCACTGTTGTGAGCCTTTACGCGGGTTGGATGTATGGATTCCACGGCCAGTGTTCATCGATAGTTCTACCCGACGTGGCTGCACTTCACCAGAGGTTCTGGGGTCACACATCAGCCACCTGTGCAGAGAACTGTCATCGGCCATGTTTTTGCTGTTGATATTACAAATTTGTCAGTTTATTTTCTGTTGCCTTTCTAAGCAATAGGATAAGGTCACTTGTGAATAAAAATCCAGTCCACGTGTTTCCTACAGGCTTCAGAGAAGAATTGACTGTGCTCAGTGTTTTTAATTTATAATCCTAACAATGGGTTTCAGAGTAGCAGCCATGTTAGTCTGTATTTGCAAAAAGAAAAGGAGTACTTGTGGCACCTTAGAGACTAACCAATTTATTTGACCATAAGCTTTCGTGAGCTACAGCTCACTTCCTGCAGCATGCTCTTTTCATTGTTGACTTCATCATAAAGTAAACTCGCAGTGAATAGGTTCTGCATGATTGGAGGAACAGGAGTGGTTAATCAGCATAATAGTTTTAGAAGAAACAGCCTGATGATTGGTTGTTTTAAATAGAACCTCCAGTACACCTCTGTCTAATGTTAAATATTGCCTTGTCTTTACTTTTAACCTTTATATTGCTTTACACAATCACAGTGATTCTTCCCACTCTACTTTTTGTAGAAAATGCTCCCCCTACCATGCAGCACTTGTGCTCACCTCTCACTGTTGTTACATGTTATCTGTGGTGCTTGAATTCCTGGCACGATTTTATTTCTTTCCTATAGAAAAGAAACTTTTTTAAAGGGTTCAGTGTTTTAGAAAATACGTGGCTGATTGGATCACCCGAAGGATTAGTAATCAGCAGAAATGATAGAAGTCGGGCATCCTGACTTTCCAAGGTGTTTTGATAACTACATCAATCTAATAAAGTGGACATAAGCTGCTGGAGTGGCTCAGTGGTGAGGAAGAGTCAGTTTTGCTCTTCAGTGACTAATCCTTGCGACTTTAGTGTGTGGTGGTTACCACAAGGGGGTTAATTTATTTTAGTTTCCTAAAAGTCAAACGTTAACCTAGGTGTAACAACTGAAAGGTGATGTACAAAATCTACCATTCGAAGTAGTTGCTGCTAGTTTCCTGTTTTCCATTCCTCTCAAGCCCCCCTGTGCACAAGGTATAACAACCCAAAGTTATAGGATGTTTTCTTTACCGTATGTGCACATAACCATGTCATGGAACATGCATGCTTAGTGTATAGCTCTCCTTATGAAAAATTAAAAATTTTCACCAAATTAAGATTGCAGATTCATATGTTGCAACATAAAATAATTTGGATTCATACTTCCCCCAAAGAAAACCTAATGGATTTGCTTTTCTTTGGTTCCTTTTGTAGAAAGGCTCATTCTCCATTCAATACCAGGAGTCCAGCTGGCATGGGGAAGTTGTTGGTGTTTTTCCATTAATGAATGTTTGGAATATAAATGACTAATTTATCAGTTTCTGTAGATCTGCAGATAAGGAAAATTAATTCTGCTGTGTTCCATATCCCTGGAGACAAAAATATGAAATCTAAGATTATTTTTTCTTGCCTGACATACCTAATAAAAAATCAAAGAAACGCCAGCTTCCCTGCAGTCAGTGACGTTGTATATTAATGTTGAGTTGCACTTAGCATGGGGGGAAAAAGATTAACTGTTCTAAATGAGAAATTTTAAATCATCACAAACAGAGCTACCCAGGAATAATGATAACAGAGATGAATATTTAATCAAAGTGGTGATTACTTTGGGACTAGAGCAATATTGTGTTTGTTTGCAGCACACTTGAAGTTTGCATTATTACATTATTTGCCTTATTTATTATATTTCAATGCAGTATTCCATTTAAACTCCTTATTCAGTCAATTTGCAATGCTTTATTCTATTGCTTGCATTTTTTAGCACTAGCCATACATTTAGTGCTATCAAATTTTGTCATTTCCCCTTTTGATATTTCCCTCCCTGATTCCTGACCTTCCACATCAAATGGACCACTAAGCCCTTTCCTGAATCCATCTTGGCTTTTCCTTCTCACTCCCCTCTCACCGTAACTAGGAATTTAGAACCACCAGAGCCCTCACCACGTTGTTCTCCAGGTGCAAGGCACACTTCTTTGACCTTGCTGTAGCTAATAAAAAACACAGAGCATACTGTACTTATAACTTATTTAAAAACACAATGAAAAACACTCCACAGAATGCACTTCCCCGTGGGAGAGGATATGGGAGAGAGTGAACTGCATGTGACAAATGTTGGTCACATTACTTAATGTTCTACTGGAGGACGCTCAAATTGTGATGAGGGAAGCTTAAAAACCTGTATAACCCAAACAGAAGCCTGATCTCTCTCCTTTTCACAGGAGTGGGGCTTCCCAGCCCCTCAGCAAGCTCTGCATTACTGTTGAACCTCATTCCTTTTGTGCTTTTGAAGGGGCCTCCAGGTAGGGTCAGACTTCCCTGTCTACCCCTTTTCCCCTTTCAGGTGTGTGGCTGTGCTCACCAGGTGCTCTACCTTCCTCTCTCGCTGTCAGGTGACGTCTGTGGGGTAATGCTGACCTGGACCATATTTCTTCTGAGCGGAAATATGGACCATGCAACATCGAGGTTGATTGTAGGAGTGCTGTTCTTTATTTTCATTCTGCTCAAATGTGAAGAAGAGCTCTGTGAGATGCATATCTCTTTGGAGGTGTAACACGTTTCCTCGGTCTGATTGAGCTTTTACTCTAGAGCTCTGCCCTGTTACTCCACTCTGCCCACTGGAGTTAGTTCCCACCATCCTGGAAAATAGATGGAGCCTCTCTAAATGGTCAAAGTGGGTATTTTTAATTAATAGGTATATAGCCTCAGTTTGAAATGAGCTTTTTTTATGATCAGGGAAAATTATGTACATTACTGTACAATTTTCAAAACTCCCTAAGTGACGTATTTAGGAACCTAAGTTACTTTTGAAAATGTTACCCTAGGATTACATGTTTGGTTGCAAGAACAAGCAGTTTATAGGCTGCTAAGGCATCTGCATTATATACCGTAGTACTGCTCCAGTCAGAATAACTGAACCATAACTATATTGATTTTGAATGAATCTGTAAAATTTTAAAAACTGCAGTACTTCTCTCATAAATACACACACGTCTATAACATACTCAGATAATTAGTATGTAAGGTCCCCTGGGAAGAAAATGTAAGGGAAAAAGGAATTCAGGAGAGTTAGTAGTTTCTCAGAGTAAATATTTAAGGCAACAACAAACTATCCTAATGCAAAGAAATATAGGAAGAATCGTAAGATAGCTCGAGCAGGAGCACTTTACGTTACCTGAAAATCAAAAAGGATTACTACAAAAAAGTGGAATCATGGGCATAGCTAGAGATCAGTATTAAAAATAGCCCAACCAGGTCAGGACAAAATCAGGAAAGCAAAGGCACAAAATGAGTTGCACTGAGCAAGGGACGTAAAAGCCAATGAGAAGAGGTTCTATAAATGCATTAGGAGCAAGAGAAAGATGAAGGAAAATGTAAGTCCACGATTTACAAGGGAAGGAGAGCTACCAGTGGACAACATCAAAAAGGCTGAAGTGTTTAATGCCTATCCTGCTTCAGTCTTCTCTTAAATAAATAATAATAAATAAAAAGTTAATGGTGACTACTAGATGCTTAACACAGTATTAACAAGGAGGGAGGCAAGAATAGGGAATGAACAGTTTAAAGAATATGTAGATAAATGAGATATATCTAAGGCGGGGCCTGAGGAAATTCACCCTTGGAGCTATAAAGAACTAGCTAAAGCAATCTCAGAGCCATTAGTGATTATCTTTCAGAACTCCGAGGAAGGATGAGGTCCCAGAGGACTGGAGAAGGGCAAATGGGGTACCTGTCTTTTAAAAAGATAACACAGAGGACCTAAAGAATTAGAGACCAGTCAGCCTAACTTCAGTACTTGGAAAGATACTGGAACAAATTATTAAACTACAAATTTGTAAGCACCTATTGGATAATAGGATGATAAAATAGCCTACAGGGATTTGTCAAGAACAAATCATGCCAAACCAACCAAATTTTCCTTTTTGACTGGGTAATTTGGCCTAGTGGATGAAGGGGGAGAAATAGACATGATTTATCTCCATTTTAATAAAGATTTTAGCACAGTCCCACATGACATTCTCATAAGCAAACTAGGGAAATGTGGTCTAGATAAAATTACTATAAAGTGGGTTCGCAACTGGTTGAAAGACCAGTTCTCAATAGTTCGCAGTCAAACTGGGAGGACATACTTAGTGGGGTCTTGCACGGATCTGTTCTGATCAGTATTTTAATTAATGACTTGGGTAATGGAGTGGAGACCATGCTTCTAAAATTTGTGGATGATACCAAGTTGGGAGGTGTTGCAAGCACTTTGGAGGACAGGATTAGAATTCAAAATGACCTTAATAAATTGGAGAATTGGTCTGATATCAACAAGATGAAACTCAGTAAAGACAAGTGCAAAGTACTACACTTAGGAAGAAGAAATTAAATGCACAACTACAAAATGGGGAATAACTGGCTAGCCAATAGTACCCCAGAAAAGGATGTGAGGGTTATACTAGATCACAAATTGAATAAGAGCCAGCAATGTGGTACAGTGGCAAAAAAGGCTAATGTCATTCTGGGGTATATTAACAGGAGTGTCATATAAGACCTGGGGGTGATTGTTCCACTGCTCTTGGCACTAGTGAAGCCTCAGCTGGAGTACTATGTCCAGTTATGAGTGCAACACTTTAAGAATCTTGTGGACAAGTTGGACAGGGTCCAGAGCAAACCTGATCTGTGGGGAAAGGTTAAGAAAACTGGATATTTTCAGTCTTGAGAAAAGAAGATTGGGGGGGAGGGAGAAAAACCTGAGAACTGTCTTCAAATATGTTATGGGCTGTCAGAAAGAGGACTGTGATCAGTTGGTCACCGTGTCCTCTGAAGGTCAGTCAAGAAGCAATGGGCTTAATTTTCAGCAAGGGAGATTTAGGTTAGATATTGGGGAAAAAACTTCCTAACTATAAGGGTAATTAAGCACTGGAATAGGCTCGCAAGGGAGATTGTGGGATCCCTGTTGTTAGAGGGTTTAAAGTCCAGGTTAGACAAACATGTGTCAGGGATGATCTTAGATATCCTTGGTCCTGGCTCAGCTCAGGGGGCTGGACTAGATGACCTTTCAAGTTCCCTGCTAGCTCTGCATATCTCTGATTCCATGTTTGTATATAAGCATCATATCAGCACTGGTGTAAACTGACAACATTGTGGTTGAGAAATAAACAAAATGGAGATCAGGTTGTCCCCCCAAGACATTCTTTAACCCCGTACGGCTTGGTGATACTGCTTGTCTTTAACAACTGGTAGGAAGTAGGGGTGGATATGGCATACATCACAAGGTAAGTCAGCCTGCAGGTATCAAAAATTCTACTAGAATAATTCAGAAGTTATTTTCTGTGTTTTGTTTTTTAGGCCCATTTGTGCAGCGCTTGATTATTCGAAGTTCAACCAGTGAAGGTTTACAACTAAATCTAAAGCGTTTTCTTCCTCAAGTAGAGGAAGTGGACAAAGAAGATGTTAAAGAAGCAGAAGCTCCAAGATAGCCTGCCAGTGTATTATACTGCAAATTCTCCTAGCATTTTCTATTCAAGAATCCCCAGGAGTATTTAAAAATGTGTTTTCCTATTAATTTGTTTGTTTACTCTCAGAAATTGGTGGTGTAGCCCTGATCTCATCTTCTTTAGAAAGTTAATAAATGTCATGTTTGAGATTTCATTTTTAATTCCTGCAGTATCAAAGGTACCTTTAGACTTTGAGCCACTTTGTTTCCTCCATGTGCAGGTGAAAGCTTTCATCAAGTTCAGTTTGTTACACATCATATTGTAATTTAACCAAAACTTACTTTATTATAAATTCCCATCATTACTATATAACCTTCCAGGGCAATAGTCTCATAATTGTGCATGCTTAATTCTTCATTAGTACTATTGGGAATGATGGGCCCAGTCCTGCAAGGTGCTGAGTATGCTCTATTCCAGTTGAAACCAATGGGAAAAGAGTACTTGGCACTTTGCAGGATTGGGTCCTGTGTAAGCTTTAATGCACGGTAGTTGAATTAGTTCATTTTGTTGGAGGTGGATGTAGGTTTACTAGGCAGAAATGGGTCACATTCCACTTTCTGTAACACCAGTATAAAAATGGAATAACTCCACTGCAGGCAGGTGGTGTTACTCCTGAAATTTGCTGGAAATATCATTCTGCTCTGCACACGGGGGGAGGGGATTGCAAGGAGGTATATGCTTTTTTTTGCACTTCTGTGATACATGGGCCTTTGAATGAAGGATAGCCCCTGGGGTAAGAGGTACTTATCTTTTGTTAAAATGAAGACATTCTGTTAAAGGAAGAGAGAGAGAGAGAGATCACGTGGATATACATAAATATCCTGTTTGTTCAGTTCTAAAACGGTTAACGACTGGAGCTTGGGTTCTAGGACTCTGCGAGGTGGCAGGATACCAGATCTGTAGCCGGAGCTGAACATCTACACTGCAGTTAGACAGCCCCTTAGCCTGAGGCCTGTGAGCCTAAGTTAACTGGCATGGGCCAGCCGCAGGTGTCTAATTGCAGTGTAGACATACCCTGAGAAGCCTTCCTCCCCCCCCCCACCTTGTCTTCCATCTGACACTATAGAAGATACACACCCCACCCCACTCCCCGCATGGGGGGCTGGGCACAGTGAGGCCAGTGGTGGAGTGCTGTTCCTGAGGTCATCTGTTTGCTTGCAGAGATTTCCTTGCATAAGAATGACAATAGGTAGCGTTCTTACATAGATTTTCCATGCAGACTCTGTAACAGCCCTGGGGTTGTAGGACACGTGTGAGTAGGGAATGAGTAGTATCTGGGAGCTGTATTGCTATGGGCATAGTGATGGGCCAGACCTGCATATGTGCACTGCAGTTTGTCAAATTTACCTGACTACTTCAGGACATCTGTGCATCTGGCGGCCCAGAGCCCCCTGACAGAACAATGTAAAGGAAACTCCGTGACTTTCCTGTCTCTTCTGCATGCTTTACCTGCATGACCCTTCAATTCTTGGCCAACGAAAATTATTAGAGTTGGCTGAAAGATGTTTAATTGAGAGATGGCTTTTTTATGTGAAAAATATGTAAAAAGAAATTGATCTGCTATAAGTAAATGAAAAATTGATAGTTTTTGATTGACTACAAAAACTCAAAAATTGGGACTGGTTTCAAACCCCTTAAACTGCAAACAACTTTGGAATTTTTTGCAGAATTAGTGTTTAACTTTTTGACCAGCTGTAGGGTTATGCAATCAGTTGAATCAATAACACTGAAAGCTTTTGGCACCAACTAGCAGTTACTATTAATCATTGTAATTCAAAAACTGACCATTATGTTCACCTCAGAGTTGATGTGATTAATATGGTACATGTGGGCTGTAATTAAATGTCTTTTTTTCTCCCCAACATACTGTTTGAGTAAAAGCTTTGATTCTGTAGCATAAAAACATGAAATTTTAAGTAGTTGACCAAAAATAATTTTACTCCACTTTACTGTGTGTAAAAACAAATGAAAACCGCTCTACCAAAGCATTATCAACTCACTGATCATAACCAGTAGGTGGCATTCATCTTCTGTGCAGAACAGTTCAACTTAATTTGTCATTCTGTGTTTTCTCAAGTCCTCAAAGCACAGATCAAGAAAATTGAGACCAAGAACTTTACATGATTCAGAATGGAAACTGGATATTTATATGAATATCCAGAAATCTAGAGTTTTCAATGACAAAAATATTAAACCTTGTGGTCCAGGGTCTAAAACAATCTCTCAATACTAGCGATCAGGATGAGGCCTAATGTGGGAGGCAGATAATCCCTCATCCTTCTTCTGAAGTATCTAACTACTGTCAGAGACAGGATGCTGGTCCATGTGGACCTTGCCACCTGATCCATTGACCCCCTCAAATCAAAGGGAGTCCTTCTATTGACTCTCTTTCAGGCAGGAGGTGAATAAATACTGTCTTGGTTTGGAGATAAAATCCAGTGAGACTTTATTGCACGATACTTTTTCCCTCAAGTAATCTTTTTTGCCACCAAAAATGTTACCAAGATATGAATATTAAGACCTGGGTTAATTTGATGTTCATGAAAGTGAGTGGCTGACATTACTAGCAAAAATAGTGTCCAATTATGTGATGTTTGAAGATGTAGACTCTCATCTGCTAGGCTGAAACAACCAACTTACTTTAAATGTTGACTAAATTAGGAGTTGGACCAAATTCCAGAGAGTTGACAAGCTAATCCACTGTATCACCTGTCCTTATAGAAATGTCTGTATTCTAGTTTAAAGTAGTGGAAATATAGATATTAATTAAAACAATCTGTAAATATCATAGATAAAACTTTTTGCCATTTTTTTCTTCATTTTTAGCAGAAGTTAGAATAAGTTGTAAGGTATTTCTTATAGCACTTGGGAAGCTCTGGCGTATTAACCTATGAGCCACTGCTTTTGGCAACAACCAATCGATGGAAGGGGGAGAAAATTCATACATAGAATTGTTCACCTTTTCCTGTGATTTGATTCAGTTATATCTCTGTCACCTGCTGGATGCTCTCTGACCACGGGATGTGGTGTCCACTGAATTCTTCTGTATACTGTGACGGGGCAAGGCAAGATGGCTATAGAAAAGTAGTGGGAGACAGATATATTAGCTCCAGGCTAAACAAATCCCTGGTACCAGGATAAGTTAAATGGCAGCTGCTCCAGGTCAATTAAGACACCTGGGGCCAATTAAGAACTTTCCAGAAGGCAGGGAGAATGCTAGGTTGATTGGGACACCTGAAGCCAATCAGGGACTGGTTGAAACTAGTTAAAAGCCTCCCAGTTAGGTGGGGGTAGATGTCAGGAGCTGTGGGAGGAAGTTGCGCTGTTGGAGAGACTGAGCAGTATGCACCATATCAGGCACAAGGAAGGAGGCCCTGAGGTAAGGGTGAAGTGGAGCTTGAGGAAGTGGGGGGCTGCTATGGGGAAGTAGCCCAGGGCATTGTACGTGTCATGTTTCTAAAAGGTCAGCTACCGTAGCTGATACTATTAGGGTCCCTGGGCTGGAGCCCAGAGTAGAGGGCAGGCCCAGGCTCCCCACTCTCCCCGCCCCGATTAATCACTGAGACTGGGAGACAGAGACTGCACACGGGAGGATAGCTTCTCACCTCCCTCCCTGGCTTATGATGAAAATCGCTCAGTAGACTTGTGACCCTTGTCTCTAGAGAGAAGGGTTACATGGAGGGTCACGGTGAGCCTCTGAGACGAGCAAAATTCGCCAGGAAACGCGGAACCCACGAAGACAAGGACAGAGCTTTGTCACAATACTGATGCCAGTATCCTAGCAACCTCAAGAGTGGGAGGCAATATTAAATGTTAAGTAGAACGTATTCGGAGTGCAATATGGTTAGTCTCAAACTGAGGCACTGGAAAGGTGTAAGTATTGATGAGAATTTTATAGTAACTTTTTAGTAATACCAAAATGAAACTTGTTCCCAGAACTCCCAGGAGATTTTTATGTATAGCTTCACTAAATAATCTGTACTACAGTTAGCATCTAGAACCTCCCACTGAAATTGAAGCCCTAATGTATAAACACAGTATATGACAGTCCCTGCCCAGAAGAGGAACAGTCTGGATGAACAAGACTGAGGAAAGTTGGAAGGGGAAAGATAGGAATAGGGAAGTGAAGTGATGCGTCCAGGGTCACACAACAATCAATGACAGAGCTTGAATTGAATTTAGGTTTCTTGATTCACAGTACAGTGTCATATCCACTAGTCCATACTGACTCTAAAAGCAACAAACAACAACAAAGGCAATCTAACTACCAGAAATATTTTGTACACTGAGCAGAAATTACTCCGTTCAGCTCTCATGTATTACAAACTCCTGCCAAGAGCACTGGATGCCTCCAGTGACAATGGACTATGGAGCTGTTGCCTCTAATCTGCAAGTTCAAATACAGGAAAAATGTGACCCAAAATAACTGCTACTGGAAGGCTGCCTGGTGGTCTGTGTTAAGGAATTGGTAATCTTAAGTGTGTGCATAACAAAACTCACCCTCACAATTTGTCTCAATTGCTATCCTAAATTTAAGAAATGGGGTTTGTGTTTAATTCTGGAAGTGGTGATATGTGGTAGTTCTTATCTTTAGCAGGACTGAGTCAATAGTCTAGGGCAGAGATTCTCAAACTGGGGGTCACGAGGTTATTACTGGGGTGTCGTGAGCTGTCAGCCTCCACCTCAAACCCTACTTTGCCTCCAGCATTTCTAATGGTGTTAAATATATAAAAAGGTGTTTTTAATTTACAAGGAGGGGTCACACTCAGAGGCTTGCTGTGTGAAAGGGGTCACCAGTACAAAAGTTTGAGAACCACTGGTCTAAGACCTGTTCTGGTGATGAGAGTTCTGTCCCCTATACTCACTGATGTCTCCCTATTGGTCAGCAGTATTATTATTCTAATCTCATGGAAGATCATGGTCACAGAAGGAGAGGTAATTCCTTGGGCAGCTAGGGTCAGTCCCTTGAAGGGATTTGAATATCTTGAACTGTCCTCTGTATTCAATGGGAAGCCAGTGTGCAGATCAGAGCACTGAGTTAATGTGTTCGCAGCAACCTGTGGGCTGCTGTGTTTTGTACTTTTCAGGACATATGACTTCATTCCTAAGTTATGTAAAACTGTATCACAACAATAAGCATGTCTCAAAGATATAACTGCAGTTTGGAAAATAGAATTTGTAAGACTTTTTGTAGAAGCATCATCTGGTGAGCCCTAATTATTACAGCAAAGGAAGGTAGGCGGCACAAAATGTTTTGCCTGTGGCACCCGTACACCTGAGGCAAGCTCTGTTTATGCAGAGAAGGAGCAAGGTGGTAAAAGAGAAATGGGCAGTGGATCAGGGTGGTCTTTGGGGACAAAAAGGAATAGGAAAATGGGCCTTTCCAAGTTGTGTAGCTCAGCTGCACTTTGAATTTGGGAGCCCATCGATGAAGGCAGAGACATCTCTATTCACACGATAGAGCAGCAGTTTAATAGATAACCCTGGGAACATGCAATGTGTTATATGAGAATTAAATTTGTGCCTGCTATCTCTGTGTAGGGTTGTGCGTACATCTTGAAGGAGCTGTCCATGATTTTTCATTTTTTACCAGTGCTGTAGAGTATGAAATGGTTTATTATTGAGAATAGTTCACTCAGACAAAGGCTATATTGTGTTCATTCCATTTCCATAAAAACTGCCTTTTTTTTATGCCAAGTAATGTTATACAGAAGTAACTTTTATGAGATACTGTAATATGGAACACTTTAGGCTCGTTAATTGAAGGCAGCTAGCTGTTTTTAGTGAAATTAGAAGATATTTACCATCATGAAGAATGTCTTCCAGCATCTATTGCATGTGTTTTATTCCTTCCCCCCTCCTCCAGCCTCTCATTCATTTAAAAGATTCCTACCCCTTTTGGAAGAGGGCAGTCAAATCTAAAGTGAGTATTAAAAGATGGTCCAATTAATGAAGCACAAATATCCAGATAATTTTATACCACTACTTCTGAAACTGTAAGGCTGACCTTCACAGAGAAGTCCTTTTTTGAAACAAAACAAAACCCTGTAGAATTCAATAGTCCTGGTGCAAAAACCATGTAGTAATACTTTATCTGTTGTCAATTGTAATGTTGGGATCAAGGTCCTATTTAGTTGGCTCTGCGAATACTTAAATTGTTTGATGGTAAATGAAATTATTCTGATAAAATTGTAAAAATAACGTGGCTTTGGGTTGGAAGTTATTAGGGCAAGATATGATTTTTTCCTGTATCAGCCACCTAATTTAGTACACTGAGGTAATTGTTTTAAGAAGATGCGAGTTGACGGATGTGCTGATTAGGTCATTAGCTATTTTCATAAAATATCAGTTTTTGCGAAGATTGGACCCCATTACTCAACACAGAAGGTGGATGCCATACATTCTGCCTTTTGCTTTTTTAGAAGGCCATCTGTTTGTGGTAAATCCAGCAAACTTTTGCAAGGCAATGATCATTCATGCTGGCACTCTTCACACAGAAATAAGGCCTAAAGACTTCCCACTGTGAGAGAATTGGGCCATGTTGTCTTGGATCCAGAATACTTGGATCACCTAATTAGCCCTGAAGCTACAAAAGTGGTCCATGAGGTGGAGAAAGCAGATTACCCCTGTGAAAGTGAAGATCACATGGAAGAGGAGTAGTCTTTCCAGAGCGGACACTGACAACATTGAAAGTGGTGTGCCCCTCCCTTCCCTGAATAGGTCATCTGGAGGAAAAAGGTGAAAGACTCGAGTAATCAGCTATATGCCTGCCTAACCCAGTTTGTCACTGAGACCGCCCTGTGTTCTGAGCTCTGACCTTTTCCATCAGCTGGTACCAGTTAACAACCACCACAAGAGTTAAAG